TATGGCTTGAATAAACTCATATTTTTATTAATCTACATTCTTTCATGTGGCCTTTACCTCTTTTCCATTCTGTGTGTCTGACTCGTTCCATGTCTCCATGGCGTCTTTCACGTGCCTAGATTCATTCTCCTCTTCCTTTCTCTACCCAGAAATCCTACCTATATCTCCTGCCTACTTATTGGTCATTCAGCTTTTTATTACACCAATCACAGCAATACATTTCACACAGTTTACAAATACGCCACAACAAATACTTTCTTATTTTAATAGCAGTTTCTTTTTTGTCACAATGCTACTGTACTCCAAAGTGGTTTCTCGAAACGTAAAGAAATCTAACAACACCCATTCCTCAGACATTTGTCAGCTGCCATAAAGAAAAGTCACTGTGTGGATCATAGATGTCATTAAAATATCTCTGATCCTTAGAGAATTATAAGGAAAATAGAAATTTTTTTCAATGGGCCATATTGCTAATATTTATGCCATGTAAACTTTGTGGTTAAAAGATAAATCCTAGTTCTTCTCATCAGGAACATACTCAAATCTTGATATTTCTGTGTATCATAAACTGACTATAGTTTCTTATAACTACAACCTACTTATATGTTATTAGTCACTGAGATGTATGTAGACATTTTAATGACTAATGAAACTTAATGCAGCTTAATTTGTAAAATACTAAGATTAAAAATAAAATAACATCTTAATATGCTGAGTAAATATCAGTGGCACTGTCATATTACAATCATTATAACATTTACCCAATTACTGTTATAAAAATTAAATAAAAAACATGAGTAATTTTAATAAGGTACCTCAACATTCATTAGTGATACATATTTTCCAAGACAATACTAAATCTAAAGGTCATACCCCATATGCTAGCATGTATCTAATGACTGCTTCTTTAACATTCGGGGTTTTTGCAATTTAGTTTTATTAAAGAAATTGAGATACTTTTGAAAATGTTAGTTTTATTAAGATAAAACTTTGGCATTACAAGTCAAATTTATGCTATATTTTAATCTTTGTATTAAGTAATTTACAAATGCTAAAAATAAATTAGGCTTATAGTTACTTTATATTTATGCTACACTATCACTGTTGCTATAGATGCAACAGTATATGTACTTTTGTAGTATATACAGGAGGCCCTGAATAGCTGTCAGCCTCATTATCTAACAAGGATTTCCCATGAAAATGGTTAGCATACAGAAGTTTGCTTGTTATACAAAGTAATGACAAGGTCTCTGAGAAATTGTAACCTCCTTTCTTTGTTGCTTAGTTTTATAATATGTAGACCTAACAGTTTAACAGTAAACCTAAAAATGCCTATCAGGAGTTATCTGAAAGGAAAACAATCTAATTTTGCATGTCTCCCACCAGAGTTAGAGTAAGCAAAAGACTAGAAGGGTTTTTTGTTTTTGTATTTATTGGTTTATTTTTTCTTATGATGAAACCAGAAGAAAGAAAATTGACAGGCAATGAATCCAGCCCTTTAAATTGGGTGGTCACTATAAAGGAGAGAATTGTAGAGATTCATACTAAGGGGCTAAAGTGGATTGACAGGATGTTTGCATGGGAAGAGCTAAAGTGAACTTTGGGAAATAATCAACTGTATTAGATGTATTCAGTATGAACAACTTAAGGTCTTTTTATTTCAGGTATTCAATTCAAGTACTCAGGTACATTAGAACCAAGGTAGAAGTGATATTTTTCTAAATTGTAAAAAGAAATTGCATGAAAAAAGTGAGAAAACAGTATTGTACCTGTAGAGGAAACTCAGAATCATAGATAGTAGAAATCAATACTCCTAATTAATCTTCCTAATTTAAGTTGTGTTAATATATATTAAGTGTGATTTATGTATAATATTCTCCAAATGTCAGTCTGACTTATTTTTATTCCATGTAGGTTTTCATAAATCTATTTAGTTGTGTAGAAATCATGGATATTCCAGACACTCTGTTCCAAGGTTTCTTAATAGATACCAACTCATGTTCAGTTTTCACCTCTGTTATCTCAGTTGGTGATTTTCAAGATCCTAAAATAAATTTAGTAAGATGCAAACACTATTTTAAAAGGGAAATAGGATAAGTAGGAATTTTAAAAACCATGTTGCATCACAAAAGGAGTCATTATATATTTCATAGAATTCACATTTCTGTTTTATAATTAACTGATGATACGTAAATATATACAGTATCATTATACAAAATGTAATTTTTTAGTTGTGAAAAATTTGAGAGCAATACACCTAAATGCAATCTTATCTCTGTGTTGAGCTAAGTTAGTTGATACAGATTACTAATTCTTGTGATGCTGTCTTTTCAGGATAAGGACTCAGAAGAAGAACAAGGGTAAGTATTTACATTTTAATTATTTCTTAATATTCTTAAGTAATGCTTTGTCAGTAATACACAAGATATCTTTTTGAAAACTTCTAAGAAAAAATAGTTTTTTTGTCTTAATAAATTGCTAGTTTACTACCGGTTAGATTATTAATTAAGTTTGGAAAAATAAAATCTCCATTTTCTTTCTGTAAGGCTACTCAGTAGTCATCTAACACACTAACTCCTTCATACAAACACTGACTTGAATGATTACTAAATGGTTTAAAAAACTTCAATGGATAGATCATATGTCCCAAGTGGACATGTACATACTTACTTTGGTTGGGGAAAATGTATAAATTGTGATGATACTATAATATTGAAGATGTGGAAATGCTTGCAAACCATGTCTCAAAATACTATTTCTGAAGTAACTAATGGTAATAGCTGTAATTTGAAAAATAAATCCTGTAGTCTCATAATTCTTGAAAACATTGCTGTGAGCAATTAAATAGGTACTGTGAGCAAGTCCTACTTCATATATGTTAGCGTCCATTGTTAGTGTTCAAGAGAAAAGAACAGTGTGAGCACTGTCCAGACTTTGACCATGAACCCTTGTAATGCAGAGTATCTCACAAGGCAGTATAATACTAATTTGAGAGGCAATAGCCTATTAGGGAAGCTCTGTACCATTGTGAATGGTCGCATTGACTATGTCCCCACTATAGCTCATATATGGTAGAAAAGGATGACCAGCTGGAAACAGAACAAGTAGATGTGCACACTCTCAGCACATATGTAAAAACTGATGCAAGTGATGCGCAAGAAGATTCTGCACCTGAGGACAAGTTCTGTAGCCTGGATGAACTCCATATTCTGGACATGATAGAGCAGGTGAGCAGTGGAGAGGGCTCAGCCCTGCCTTCTTCCTTCTAGAAAGAATTGTTCATTTTGTTTTCTCTAGACTCTTTAAGCAGTAGCCTTTTTTAAAAGCCCAGCAGAAAAGCAGCAAAAACAAGAAAAGGGGGTATTGCAATACAAAGTGGATTATAAAAGAAAATTGACACTACAAACTTCATATGAACCTTCAAATCATTACTAGACTACTGGGCAATATTAATAAATGCATTTCTTGTAAAAATGGTTTCTGAAGTGTGTGAAGAAACAGAGAGAAAAGACAACAACACACTAAAAACTAGCATACATCTCACTCAATTAAATGTCATCAAAATAATTTTTAATAAATCAAATCTACTTTGATTTCTTTTTAAATTAAATTTGGTTGCAACCATGAAATATCTACTAAAAAGCATGTTATAGAATTTTTTCTAGCTCCTTTTCTGGTTGTAGCAACTGCTTGAAATGATATACCTATAAGTATAAGAATATTGGTGCTCAAAGAGCAATGAGTTATACAAAGTAGCTGAAGGATTGAATCACACACACATGCACATACATATACACAGCATGTTTAAAGTTAGTGGTGAGCTGCTCTATGATTTAAAATGTGGATGCCTCACAATCAGTTACCCACTGCCCAAGGGTCAGTCAAGTTGATCTGAATAAATCTAATACTGGCTGCAGTATTAGAATGAATATATATATATATATATATATTCATATTTATGTTATTAACTGAATTGACATAGTTTTGGATATTACACTGGGATTTAAATATGGGTCCATTAATGTTAATCCAGTAACCCAGAAGAATTCAAAATGAGAATCAAACTATCAAATATTGCAGAAAATATTCACTTATTTAGAAACCATTGAGCTACCTGCATGGTATTCTAAGTGTGCTATAGTGAGGTCCCTGTTAGTATACTGTTTATAATATAGGAGGGAAGATGAACATTAAAATAACTTGGTGCACTGCTGTAATTAAGAATGACCAGTTGTTACTGCTTGAGTTAGAATTCAGGCTCTTCATTTACTATCTGCAAATGTAGACAAGTTACTTACTCCTTAAACATTTTTAAATGAAAATAGCAAGTACCTCATCATATGATTACTATAAAATGCGAGCACTACAAAAACTACAAGTAGTAAGCATTAGTCTCACTCACCAGTACCTGCAACTTACCTGTTGAATTATTTAAGTAAAGCATGAAGGGGAATTGTTATAGATGGCAACTTTATATACAGAAGAAATGCTGTAAATAGAAAATACTAGCATTTTTATAGGAAAATAAATATTCTTGTTGCATTTGCTTAAGGGCTCATCTGGAAAGGAAAGTACAGACTGCAAAGAAACTGAAAAGGAACGGCTTGCTCATCAACACCAGCTTTATAAATTGCAGTATGAGTGTGAAGTGAGTACTTTTGCCATTAAAACTAAGAGAAATAGTACATATTTCAAGTGTTTAAATTCAATGACATTGTTTTAAAGAACTCAATGAAATGAACCTTTATTCATTATTGGTAGGGGTGCAAATTAATACAACCATTGTGGCAATCAGTGTGTAGATTCCTCAAAGAACTAAAAATGGAACCACAGTGTGACCCATCCTTCTCACTCCCAGGCATATACTCAGAGAACTCCATACCCTACCATAGAGATACTTGCATCCCATGTTTTTCGTGCTTTATTCACTATAGCAAAGAATTGAAGTCAGGCTTTTCTATCAGTAGATGAATGAGGAGTGGATAATGGAAATTTGTGTGATGTTAGCTTCAGTAGCATACATACTAAAATTGGAATGAACAGAGAAGATTAGCATGAACCTTATGCAAGGAAGACACACAAATTTATGAAGCATTCCATATTTTGTCCAACTCTGATGTATAGTTTTTGCTTTCTTATTATATTTTATTATTATATCTTAGGAGCCTGCCTCCTAATGAAAGACAGGTAATGGATCCAGATGGGAGCAGATGTGGTCAAGAACTGGAAGGAATAGAGGGAGGGGAAGCCATAATCAGGATATAGTATATGAGAAAAATATTTATTTTCAATAGAAGGGGAAAAGGGAAATTTTGGTGTGTTTATGTATGTGGGAGGGTGTATATATATGTATGAATACTGTTTACCTCTAAAGAAAAATGAAGTTTAAAAAGTCTGCAGGAAAATGGATGGACTTCAATGTATAATATTAATTGAGATCACACAATCTGAGAAATTAAGTTCATACTCATTCTCATATGTGGAACCTAGTCTCATATATATATATGTATATGTATATGTATGTACATAGGTACTGTATAATGTTAAGAGAACAAGACTGAATAAGGGGATGAGGAAGGACTAAATATGCATAGTGGATATGAATTATGAAAAAGAATGTAAAGTTATTCTTTTTTATGGTGGATAAATGCATACAATAATTGATACTGAAAATGAAATATTATAATGAAGCTTCATAATTCCCATTTTAATGACAATGCTAATCATATATAATAAGTTTATTAAGTTGTATAGATTTAGGTTCTGGTTAATTTTGGTATGTAATGTTTTCATTTATTGGCAAGTATTTTTATAATAAAGTTCATTTTAAAAACTCAATGTGGATTTGTTTTTAATTTTTTGGTGACTTGAATGCTATGAAACAATATTTTTCATTGAGCAGGATTACAAAAGACAACTAAAAACAGTGACATTTCGGTGGCAGGAAAATCAAATGCAGATTAAAAAGAAAGAAAAAATTATTGTATCTCTTAACCAACAAGTGGCTATTGGAATCAATAAAGTGTCCAAGTAAGTACACATTTTGATAAAAATGAAAATTCTGAATTTGCCTCTTTTTTAGTCTTAATCTCCCTGTAGCCACTAGGTGGCAATGTGACTGTACAGTAGAAATTTCAGAGGCTATATGTGCTTTTTTTTGAGAAGTCAGAATAAGAAGCTAGAGAAATAAATTTCAAATAGATGAGGTATAGGATTTCATTTGCTGTTTTCACGGCCAAGATTTGTGATTCATGTAAGACATACTCAGTCCCTTTCTCAGCTACAGTAGGTGGAACTTTCCTTCATTAACACAAAATAATTTCTAACATTCTATGATTTCCTCATTATTTGCTTAGATTACAGCGCCAAATCCATGCTAAAGATGATGAAATTAAGAACCTTAAAGATCAACTTTCCATGAAAAGGTACAGCATTTCCTTTTGTTGGTACTCCCTCTTTGAAACTGCATTTTACTCAACATTTTCTGTGGTGATAACCAATAATTTATTGTTCAAACATCCTTTTCCACATAAGATTGAGTAATATCAACAACTAGAATGGGTTATTAGGTATAAACAGGAAGACGTGTAGGCAGATTGGAAGGTATGTTCGTCATAACTCTGACTGGAGAAAACAGAGCAGTTCAGTCAGCAGCGTTGTAGTCTCACTTATTGAAATATATAACTATCACTACTATGTATTTCTAGAACATTTTTATAGCCTCTAAATCGAACTATGTATGTTTTTAATGTTAGCCCCTTTTTACTCCTTTAGCTTCTAGTAAACACTAATTTACTTTGGATTTGCATATTCTAAGCATCTTATATAAATGCAGTTATATATGTGACTTCTTATAGCTGCCTCCTTTCATATGACATACTGGTTTGAAATTCCTCCATGTTATAGCATGATTGAGTATTTGTTCCTTTTATAAATATGTATTGTTTAGATGTAGCACATTTTGTCTTCATCTGTTTGGTGTTCAGTTAGCTTGGTGTCCTCTCTCCCCCACATCCACCCCTCTACACTGCTTATTAAGAAGCATTTACATATAGATGTTTGTGTAAACGTTTTTATTTTTGAGTTTATCCCAAGAGTAAAATTGCAGCATTATCAATAAACTTTGCACTTAACTTTTTAATTAATTTTTAAGCTGTTTTATAAGTAGCTATACCTTTTTATAGTATAGGCCAGTTCTCATTTCTCTTCTTTCTCACCCAAATTTCTTAGATTACCTTTAATTGTTTCTTAGATTATCTGTAATTGAAAACGTAGAGCAGAATGTCGCTTTGGTTTAGATTTGTGTTTTTCCATGGACTTAAGTACATTCAATGATATTATGTGCTTATTAATAATTTGTGTATCGTTTTAAGTAAATTTTTACTTAAACTCTTGGCCTATTTTAATATTTGGAAATCTTTTTCACTGCTGAACACTATGAGTTCTTTGTTTTAGTGCAAGTAGAATTTTTGTTGTGCCTCATGAATATTTATACAATATTTAGTGGTATAATAGTTAATACATGTATTGAGGCAATATATCTGCTTAAATATTTTATATTTTTTTCTCCCTAGTAATCACTATCCTTAATGGTATTTGTCACATTCCCCCATCAACAGTCTTTGAAGTTTTTAAGCATCTGAGTGTATTTCTTTTACCAAAACATTAAAAATGGTTTCTGTGATGTTCCCTATTATCATAAAGTTATGCTTTCACTTGCTCTTGTAAAAGGCAGAATTTAGTTTGCAGGCTATGTAATTCTGAGATTTCACTGTATAAGAAGGGATTCGGGGTGGGGGAAGAACCCTCAGAGGTTCCACCTATATAGTTTGGTTCTATTCTTAGGATTCAAGCTATGGAATTCAGTTCCATTCTGAGATATGGAATCCAAATGCTGAAATAACTAGAAAGCTGTTTGATTGCATTGACTTCCTTATTACAAGGATAAGGATTTACATGGCTGCTATTGTTGGTGCAAGAACAGGCACTTCTAAATAAAATTTATTAGCAATAACATTTAGTATGTAATGTCAAGCATGGAATGTTTTATGTATAGTTTTTGAATTATTTTTATAGCAATTGTTTTGTTAAGGTGATAAAACTTTATTTTCACATGTGCAGAAGCTAAATATAGAGATCTAAACACCTCTCTCACATGGTTCCTCCACTATTACACACTGTTGCTTGGGTAGTTACTAACGGTAGACGCTGATTTCTCCAAGGTCAGGGTGACGCCCAATTTGATACCTGTTAAGGGCTTACTGCCTCCTAGCAGGTCTTCCTCATCTTCTCATTCTACCTTCTCATAGAAGGGCTATAGACCTTTCTCAAAGCATCATTTAAATAAAATATTATTCACTTCCCAAACTTCTATTTCCAAATCATTAGGCAAAAAGGATTGCCTCCTCCAAAATCCTCATTTTGGGGTTTGTTGAGTGAAAAACTTTGCCTAGGAAGATGAAACACTCATATCTATTTATCCCAGACAGGTAATACACGATAGACAAAGTACAGATGCCACCAAAGTCCAGCTTGGTGAACTAGTTGAGTTTTATTGGGGTCACTTATAGGAATGTGAGTGAAGTTACTTAGAGGCACGGAAGTGTCTCAAAAACATCTGCGTCACAAAGACCCACCTCACCATTCTGGGAACCTGGATCATACAGCACAGCCTGAGGCAGCTCATCAGATTGGATTATGTCCTTTCCAAGGGTTTCAGTTGGTCTAAACCTCTTCCAAGTAGCTGATCTGGTCTCAGTCTTTTTGCAGCTTGGCTTTGCTCTTCTGAGAGGACTCTTAGCTTTTATTGCTTACTCTGGTAGTGAACCTAGCCAGTTTCAGGGACTTCCCTAAAGCTGTTTTGAGTTGTGTATACCTTACTGTTTAAGTGGTTTTCTGCAATATTTAAATCTTGGAGAAAACTTACGCAATAATAAAGTGTGGGTCAGGGAGAACTCAGGTATTCAATGTATTATTGTTCTTTTCTAAGGTTTTACATTTAGAGATAACATTCATTTTAAGGTTATGGATTCAGAATTTAGGTCATAGTTTCTTTACTGAGGATCTAAAGATTTCTGTACTTTTGGTAGTAAAGAGTAACTACAGTTTTAAACAATGTCTTCTCTTGTTTATAGGTGCTATGTATACTTTGCCAAGAAAACATTTCCTCCTTGGGATAATGTAGAAAGGGCTATCATTGTAATGTTGCTAATTTTTAATGATCGTTCATTTCAGATCTCAGTGGGAGATGGAGAAGCGTAATCTTGAAAGTACAGTTAAAGCATATGTAAACAAACTGAATGCAGAAACCAATAGAGCCTTAACCGCCGAGGTAAAAGGAAAATGGGAATGGATGTGGGAGGGTAGTTTTAGTTTAGTAGTTACAGACTTGAAAAGATTGGCAGTGAATAAACAGAAATAAGACATCTTAGTGTCATTCAGAAAAATACAGCTTAAACTCATAACCTTTTGATTCACTGGCACGTCAATTGGGAATACTTGGATATTTCTAATCTTATGTTACTCTTGTTCATTGACTCTAAAAAGTCACAGTGTTTATGGAGACTAATTCTCATAAAACTAGGTCACTAAGCCTTATTTACAAGAAAAACATTTCATAAGAAAAATGTTTTACCACTACTGTAATATCATTTTCTCTGCTGTGTTCTATACAAATCATCCAAAAATGCATACACATCATAAGCCCCAATATCAAAAGCCAACTTACTTTCCATAACCCTAGAAAGTTAGTTTATAATACAATCGCTGCGATCTCTCAGAATAAATAAGATTGTGTGAGGCCTGGCGATGGTGGCACACACCTTTAATCCCAGCACCTGGAAGGCAGAGGCAGACAGATCTTTGCAAGTTCGAAGCCAACCTGGTCTACAGAGTGAGTGCCCAGACACGTTCCAAAGCTACATAGAGAAACCTTGTCTCAAAAAACAAAAATAATTGCATTTATGCATGTAATTTCTATTTATAACTGATGAAGCTTTATATATATGTATATATATATGTATACATATATATATATGTATATATATATAAAGCTTTATATAGATAAAGATTCATATTGTTTGAAGAACTTGCTGACTTCAAAAATC